TGATGATGATGATGATGATGATGATGATGATGATGATGATGATGATGATGATGATGATGGTGATGGTGATGGTGATGGTGATGGTGATGGTGATGGTGATGGTGATGGTGATGGTGATGGTGATGGTGATGATGATGATGATGATGATGATAATCATCCCAACCGGAAGAGCGAACCAGTTGGCTATTCTACAAGCGTGGTCGGAGATTTAAAGTCGGGACTACCGAGAACAAATCAAGCTAGCGGTCAGGGCGGGACTTGAATTCGGGGCTTCTGGATTAATAGTCCAGCCCCCTAACCACTCGGCCACGCTGCCTTCTTGTTCGCTGTTTAATAGCTAGGATTTTTAAATCAAGTTTCACAATTGAAATGAGTATTTCGTCGGATACTACGTTGAACGTTTAATTTAACTCAAGCTGCTTGTTGAGGCCTGACAGCTAGGATTCAAATAACCGGAACCGCAAATTAGTTTCTACAACCAGTCAAGGGGGAAATTGTGATAAATAACATTTAATTTAACGGCTGAAGTGTCGCCTTTGTGATATAAATAATTAAATGCATTTTTTGGTTTAAAACTCGCACATATACCTGAGGTTTTCTTTGATAATGTAGTGAAACGCTCGCTTTTGATGTGGCTTGTCTCGTAGAGTTGTCCTAGTGTAGCCAATCTCAAGGACGACATTGTGGTCACCTTCAAAAACCACCAGGTTAAACGCCAGAATCTTCGCTCCTGGACTGGCTTTCAAGGTCTTGCGTAGTCGTCTTAAGCTTGTATTTGCTTCCTGCCGTCTCCTGAGAAGGATAATAAAATGTTAAATCGATTTTAATTTACTTCGTACTGTAAAGCCCTAAAGGCAAAATATAACAGTCAAAATACTCGATGTATTCCGCGCATTATTGGGTTCGGCGCCCATGGAATGGGGTACTCCCTATAAAGGCCTAAACTGGGGGGCTTCGCCAGAAAGGGGTATCTTTTTCAGGATCCGGGTCAGTATAAGAGGGTAAGGATTTCATAAGTTGAAAAATTTGAAAGGGTTGGGAAATTTGTCATTGCGACCTCTGAAAGGACCTAAAAGGGCAAACAGGCGCAGTTTATGGCTGTGAAAAAGAAAACTTTCTTTTCCTTCGTCACGCAGTCACGCCTGAGCGCGTAACAAATTATTTCTTCAAACTATTCATTGCTTTTCTGTGGCCATGAAACTCAAAAACGTAGCCTAGATTTCAGACATTCCCTCAAGTCGAATACACCATTCAGCAATCAAGTAATCAAAATCCCTACCCGGTTTTCGGTTTACGTCGCTGAGAGGAGTATATGACTCGAAGGAATGCCTGAAATTCAGACTAGTCAAAAATAGGAAAAAAATGAACATTTGGGCTTGTAGAATCGAGGCTGGCTCGCGCGTGGATGGCTCAGGCTCGTGTTTGGCTCTTGAAACAAACAAACTCATTCTTCTGAGACCTGCATTGGCAAAACAAGGCAGATAAGCTGAAGAGGTCATTTTTGTATTGGCCAGTTTCGAATTTTTGACCCAGACTGAAGGAATCAAACAAAAGAAATCACATTGAGATTCAGTTATCAATAATTCATTTCTTTTGTTTAATTTATTTTCCTCAGCTTCCGATCCATGTATAAATTTCCTGATTAAAGGGGCTGTGTCATGGCAGTCCAGTTCATTTTGTTAAAATTTGCCAATTACTCGCCTTCAATCGCTATTCAAGTTAAAGTAAGCAAAGGAATTACATGTAAATGACAAAATCAGAGACCCTAGACAAACAAATATGCCTCCTGAGCATTATTATTATTATTATTTTTTTATTTTTTTATTTTTTTTATATTTAATATGTCTGTTTATTTCCTATAAAACTACAATTACACAGTGCATACTTACTATTACACTAATAATACTAAAATAAACTTACTTACACACTTACGCAGTAACCAAAGCATAACAATTACACAGTGCCTACTTACTAAAGTAAACTTACTTACACACTTACGCAGTAACCATAGCATAACAATTACACAATGCCTACTTACTAGTACACAGTATCTTAAAAGTAACAATATAATGCAACGACAATTATAATAATACTAAACCTAACTTATAGAAGTACAGAGCCAGAGGTTATCGCCCATTTCCTAGTAAATTTTTCTATTGTATTGTTTTTAATACATATATATTTCTCTGTCTCATATTTATTTTTGACCTTTAGCTTGAAACCAGTTATATTTGGAAGCGTTTCAGACCTTCTACAATCCCAAAGATATACCTTAGCAATCAGTAACAAATAATTGAGTAAGGGGTATTTAGAGGTTATTATTCCTATCAATACGTCTTGCAGAGTAAGGTGAAAGAATTCCTTTGTTAAAGAATAGTAATAGGATTCGAACTGTTTCCAGAAAAGCTGGGAGTACACACAATGGAAGAAGAAATGAGGTAGCGTTTCTGGTTCTGATTCACAGAAAGAACATTTATCATCCGCAGTATAACCTATCTTATATAATTTGCTGTTAGTGTATAATATAGAATTAAGAATCTTGTACTGAAAAGCTCTAACATATGGTTCGAAGGCTAGATTATGAGGCAGGATAAAAACTTTTTTCAGTTGATCATCGGTTAAGTTAAAATCATGTTTCAGAAATCGTGAATTATTTGGAAACTGTGCTTTTCTGCTTTTAATCAATAGGTAATAATCTTTCGACTTCTTTTTCAGCGCATCAAAATCCTTGTTATCAATTCTAAAAGAGA